TACGCCGGCAGCCGTGCAATGGGCTACCGTGTGTACCCACGTAGTGCCGACTGACGTCTAATTATATTGACTACCCGCTAATATTGGCATTTTTCGGGAAGACAGGCTTGAACGCGCTACTGGCCTACATAACGATCGCGCGACGGACGCGGTGCACGCGAGCCGTTGCTCCTTGCCCGCCGGTACCAGTTTCATAGAAACAATCGTGATTCGCGCCTGTGCGAGCCGCGAACGGTGGTGTATACCTTTGCCACTGCAGATGCGGTAACCACAGAGAGTATTGATGAAACAGCGGAAGGTGCTTTTACGTGCTACTAAAAGAACGACCGGCGACGCTATCTATTTAGGATGGTGCACGCGAAACTTTGTTTATCTGGTGTTGTTCGCGACCTGCTTGGCTAAGTCGCGACGGTGGACTCTCGTTAACAGTGAGAACGATTCAATAACGCGACGACCGATACCGATACGTTCACCGGAATTTTCGTTGAACTGGAGATATGTTCTAAACTACGTTGCACTTTCGTGTAGGAAAACTTCGGGTGAGATGGCTCGATCTCGTACATAGTGTCAAATATCTATGTTTTCAATTATTCTTATTGGTATACTGAATATTCCACAGAGGCCTATGTAATTAGTGGTCTTATGTATATTTATTTTTATAGATATGTTTCCGTTTTGTTAGATTTTAATGATATTTATTATTTATGATGTATTGTGTAAGATGAGCGAATGGATTTCTTGCTAATCTGTTCTCTCGTCAGATTCATTCGATGATAAGAATGTTCATCGATTTATGCAACTGTTCCTGCTGGTTTCTAAAATATTCGTTATATTATTGAAATAATCGTCGGATATTGCTGAAAGTTTCGTATCTATGGTTTTAGAGGTTGTCTCTACCTCGTTGATGGAAATGTTAGCATCTAGAAAAAGTATGCATGAAGTATTTTTAGTGGAAGTGTATTGATATGAAACTTTATGAAAACTGTGTAATCTTAATGATTCATGTGGAGTAATTGTATGTTAAATTAATAACGATATTTTCATCCGATGTATTTTCTAATTAGAAGTAACTGCCGATCGCATGGTTACACCTTGGCTTCCTGTTTAAAGCTAAACGACTGTAACTGTTGACGATTATGCGGAGCTGTTTGTTAATAGCTAACTGCCGACCGAGTAATTCGTAATAATCTTATTCGTTGATCAGCGACAAAATTACTGTCTCTATTGATTGCCCTGAGCGTATATAATAACAGCGAATTGTTTCAGCTGCGAGTAACGAGCGAACTAACTTCGTGCAAACGAGGATTTGTAATATGTAAAGTTCTCATATAATTGTACGGTACACATATTGGAAGCGTCAACATATCTATATAGATACCACACTGATTACCAAGAACTACATAACATCTCCCATGTTTGGTATAAATAATAAATACTTATCTTTTCAAGTGGTGAAAATACCCTCCTAAAATCAATCTCTGAAACATAAACTCGCATAGTAAGAGATCAAAAAAATATTTCAACAAATACTGAATGATTTCTTAATTTCCAGCCGTTAAAAATCATTCAGTTTTTGTTAAAATATTGTTCTTGCCTATGTCTAACCGTTACAGAGTTAAAAATTTAAGGATCGACCAATTTGGAGGGTGGTTCCATCCCTCATATTTGATACATGTACATTATTTTTAGCTGTTCTACGAACCTACACAGTTTCACGTGTTGATAGAATGTAATAGACAAGATTTGCTAGGAAATATCTAGTGCATTGAAAAAACAGAACACCAAAAATTACATAAAAAACACTTGCAAAGTTTTTCAATTGCCATATCTTTAAAATATCAGTTGGAAGAAAAAAATGTAAATTCGCTAATATAGCTTCTGCGACAAGAATACGATAAAGGGTAAGACACAACGCGATAAATATCGATCAACGGTAATTGCGTGGACGTGCACCCTCTGTTTTCAAGGTGCCACACAAACGGATTCGAGGAAACACAGTATCGTAACCATTTCATCGAAACTGTATCTTTTACCTTATACCACGTGTACACCTACTGTATAATATAAAATATCGTAATGTACAATGACTACAATTGGAGTTGTAAGAGACACTACTTATTTTTGCAGACATCAATGCAACAACGTTAATTTCAATGTACCTTTTAATAAGAAGAATTACTAACGTTAATCGTAATTGACTGATTCTACTACTTAGGTTTTGCTAGTCTACTTTTAGACGACAAGACCTTCAGAGAAAAAATACACTGTCGGAAAATTACGATGGTAAAGCCCCTGAAACGCGGCAACAGTTACCACATCCTTGTCAAGCTGGCGACAGTGACAGTGGCGCGGATAACCTGACGTTCGACGTGACATCATCAACTGTGCATATATTTATTTTAATTATATCTCTGTACATATTTAAGGGTTATATAATTAAACCTATCGATCGTCGAAACGAATAATTATTAATATCTCGCGGACAAAATATAAATAGTGTATTAAAAACTTTCCGATCTAACCGTCCGCCAGAGTATAAAATAAGGAATCTAGATAAAAAGTTGATTTTCTCAATCAGGGTTATCGCAAGGTCAGACAGATCCAAATACAACCCGGTTCCCTTGATTATGTTACACTTCTCATTTTATTGAAGATTCTTCTTTCATGCTTTTCAAAATGTATGCTTGGAGAAATTCAACTTGATCACCCGGTGTATGATTATACGATTGTTAGAACATATACGACGAATAAGAAAAAATGTTTCATAGTAATCTTATACTTGCATAGTAAATATGAAAAAAAAAACTTCAGATATTAGATCAAGATTCTTAGCATCTTGTCTGTTCATTGGACTGTGACTCGACGCATTATCAAGTTTCTCATTCCCGCGAAACGCATGAGACGAAATTTGGTTAAGCAATATCCCAAAACTGCAAAAGTGGCTACGAAATTGATTTCAGCGAGAGAAATTTCAGCAAATTTCGAAAATCGCCAGTTCGTTACTAATAAATCGTGAAGAACAATGATTAATCAAATATTGTTAGATATAATCGAAAAATAGTGAAAATTTGACTACCGTTTTAATTTAATGCAATTCCCTTTGATGATCTCAGTTTTCAAAACTGCCTCACGCGAGCAGCTACGCGTTCTCCAACGTGAAGTATGAAGTATGAACGCGAAAAGAAGGAAACCCCATGCTCGAAGAAATTAGGTTTATCACGAGACGAGTTAAAAACTGTCCACGGTTCATTAAATAGGTCAAGCGAAAGATACATTAATGTTTTTTTACAGCAGATGAATGATAAAAAGGAATTTACATTGCATTCGCATATGTACTTTGCGCGTTACGTTAAGAAAGTTTTGATATCAATGGACAACTCTACATATGTCAGTTCAAAATAAATGAGCAGCTATTAATATATGATATGAATTTATAAATATACAGTGACATGCAAAAAATTTTAACGGAACTCACCTTTATTTATGCCGTACGAACGACATTTTTAGATGACGTATCGAACACAGGGGGAGAAATAAGAATGGCCTCTCTAGAATATTAACTGAGTTATAGATCGCGAACAACGAGATCAGAAAGACGTATCTGGTTTGCGATAAAAAAACTGACCGGATCATGTGGTGCATGTTCGGTAACGGCGAGGACGCCGTTGCACCGACGGCGGTTCGCACCTCACAGATACATCGCGACGTCTGACGTTCCCGCGCCCATTGGCGTCGAGACGACGTCGTCATGACGACCCGTCACAACATCCTTTGTGCACACGCGCATTCCGCTTGCGTAAAGGGTGTCATTTACGCGCCAACATAGGGTAGAAGTTGAGTATATCATACCGCACATAACTGCACCTTGTATTTCCTATTTGAAGTTAATTTGTATTTAAGGAGGTTAAAGACACCCATGACGAGGCGTTTAATCTGTTGTCAAAAATAAAATAAGTTGTTGCAACCTTTGGAATGGAAGGTATAATTTAAACAACCGGTCTCGTAAGTTTGACCTTTATTTGAAATCGTAGATTTATCAGTGAAAGTAATTATGAATGTATCTGTATGGTTGACGAAAAAAATTACTGATTTCTACATATCTTATCGTGTAACGTATAAATAAATCAGAACAAAATTGCCGATCATTTCGATAAAAATGGGTCCAATACATATATATCTACTATTTATTTTATGAATAGCAATTTGTAATTGTATTATTATAGATAATCTCTTTTTGATAACATATACTTTTTAATAAATATAATTTTTCCCAAACTAGGCCGAGAAACTATGAGAAACTATATATATAGATATATAGATATAGTATAGATACATATATATATATATGTGTGTGTGTGTTACATAAATGACTGGCACTTACAATATTCCATCTTCAATAACCTCAAAACACAATTTTAGTCTCTTTCTCTTTATATTTTTCACCTAATAATTCTAGCTTTTATAATAAATTTATAAATTCATATTCAATGTCGTAAAAAAGTTCTAAAATGTCTCAAAAATCACATAAGATTTTTCTATAAACAGTTTGTTACCTTGCAGTACAGAAAGTATTTTAATACCAAAAATGCAAGATTGGATGATATTAACATCCAATTATAATAGGTTTAGTTATTAAATATTATAATCTCATTTGTTACAATGACCATAATTAATTCAACATCTATTACATAAAAACTTAAAATGTGAATGCTGTAAATATGTACAAATTAATCAATTGAAACTGAGTTGATTAATATTAGGAATTTCTTTACAAACTCAATAATTTTTTGTTATAGGATAAAATAATTATGTATGATAAACTGTTAATGCTATCAATTATTATTAGTCGCCTGTATTTTTCGTCAAATGCAATTTGTAATCAGAAACATAAACAAAATTTTATAAAACATACATTTTATGGAAGAGTTTATGGGTGTACTCAACATTAAATTTCTTAAAAATGTATTTATTAGAAATGAATAATAATAATGTAGTACAAATGAAGTGTTTTGGTTTTTGTAATTTACACAGTTTGTTTCATATTGAACTTATACATGCTTTATAAAAATAGTTTTTAATATATCATTATTGTATGTATGTAAAATATATCTTATTTGTATCAGCTTACATTAGTTATAAAAATCATTCAAAAATAATTTTTCTTATAAACCAAGTAACATGTTACTCTAAACTATGAATAATACAATATTGTACTAACAGCTTGGTATATAGTAATGGAAAGACCAACTCCGAAGAAGATTGCTCTGAATGGTTGCTTTGGATAAATAGCATATACAAATGTATGACCAATTCTGACAAGTACAAAAGCTTTGATTAAATTCCCAGCCAACCATGTACTAGGTCCTGTAGTTAACCATAGACATGTACATATGAACCAAAGAGGAATATTTTCCAAGTCATTTAAATGCGCTCTGCGTACACGTTCAATATCAGGATCATTCGTAACTTTTCCACCTCCTGCTAGGTTACAGTCATCTTGATTTAGAAATATCTGTAAGAAAATGCATTGAAATCACAATATTCATTTTATTTATATGCTAGAATAATGAAAACTACTTCTTATTACAATGTAACTTACCCTCTTTTTAAATCTCTGATTCACAGTTAAAAGTGTTACTCCTATAGTTTTTAAAACCAGTATACCACCCCAAAAACCAAAAAGTTTGAAAAGTTCTAAGTCAAGTGCAAGCATGTTTGTAGTCGGCATATTTCAACTAAATAAATGAAGACTTTAATAAAATACTTGTTAGGTTGATACGAACAGAACGATGTGCAAGATATGAAAGTTGCGGGAACTATGTAATGTTACTGCAAAGGCTCTTTATATATGTACATGGAATGGAGTAGATGCAGGAGATAAAAAGAGATTTCATCATGAAAAGTGGGAAAAATTGAATGTCATTCTGATTGGCAGTATACCCCACTCCAATTCTGACAATTTAAGTTAGGTCTGTATATTCTGATGTATATTGCGATTAATAATAAGGAATTATTCAATTCGATATTAGAAATATTTATATCATTAGCGTATAAATGTTTTCGTGAAACGCGATATTTTCGATATTATTATTCAAATATTATTATGAATTTTGTTATGAATGGCGATAATATTCGTGCCGCTAAATAATTAAATCAAACAGATTAATGCAATTACTAAAATTCCCAATGTAACGCTTTTGTCTGATACCATCCAGTAAAATCGCGTAACACGCCGTAGTTTCCATTTATTGGTTACTGCCATTGATACGATTCTAAAACGTCGAATCAGCGGTCATCTTTAACAGGAAATGATCGAGTGCAATACATAGCACGATTACTTATATCGCCACGTGATTGGGGGCTTGTTTTCCAATCAGAAAACAGGAAGTATAAAAATGTATTAAACTTAAATACTAAATTGATGGAAATGTTAAATAATTAACTGTATCGTAAGAAAGATAAAGTAATTCCTATAAATCGAGTGTAACAATTGGATCGTTCCTGGTTAGTTTACACGGCAAAAATCACCAGAGTTAAAGGGGAAAATGGAGGACCATAGTATGCGCATGCGTCGAGTGCAACGCTGACGCAGAAGGTACGTCAGCTGTTTTGTTAGAGTTGCGTGCATCGGGAATGGTGTATTGTTGACTGCAGGGATATACTTCGCAGTTTGTAGCTTCGACCGTATTTCTTTGTTTGTTTGGTGTGCAGAATCGTATATTGTATCCATCGTAGAGAGCATCCGACCGCGCGTGGAAGGATCACGACGCATCGAGGCACGGCCAAGGAAATCACGGTGGAGGCCTCGAATTATCTGGTGGAGAAAACCGTTGGAAATTGATTCTCTCGGGGAAGAGTAGTGTTCGCAAAGGCGTCCGTCCGACTGTGGTGTACCGTGCTACCACTTCAGGAGGTTTGGGACGTTCTACGTTTCTGGAACAGGCTGCAACCGTAATTCCAGAAGCAAAATAATGGCACAACCGACTAGCTCAGCGCTTAGGGCGCTCGCCCTCGAGTACAAAAGCCTTCAAGAGGAACCCGTCGAGGGTTTCCGCGTGAAACTCGTTAACGAGGACAACATGTTTGAGTGGGAAGTAGCTATCTTCGGCCCCCCGGATACGCTCTACCAAGGTGGATACTTCAAGGTAAGTTATCATAATTATTCTTAGATTTCGTTCGTTGCCGGGATGCTCTTCATGGAATCGACGCTTTGTCTCTTTCAATATTTTTTTTCACCTGTATCTCAGTACGTAAATATATCGCGATCTTTTCTATTTTTTTGGTTATGTTTCCGATTTCTCTTTCGATGACGCGAAACTTAAACTACGACGCGATGTATTGTGTAGGCTCGAAGGTTGATCGACTTTACTTCACTAAATATCTAAGCTCGGACTGCTTTTTAACGTAATATTAATGATGCTTCTAAATGCAGACTGTATGAAGAATTATTTTATACGGATTTAAAAATATTTTCATTAATAAGATCTTGATCTGTCAAATATACAACTTCCGGAAAAGAATCTATTCGTGACTGTGTTTTCATCTAAGAATTATACAACGGGACAAAGAATATTTAGGTACTACAACCATTCTATCAACTGTTGTTTCTACGAGAAACACTCCTAACATTTGTTTTTTAATAATATATTTATCAAACTAAAAAGTTTTCTTTAGTGTCAACCATAAGTACATAAACAGCGATAAATAATTTTAATAAACATTCTGTAAGCAAGAAGTAATACATTTATAATATTTGTAATTGTAGAACAAAAGATAGCCCCCTCTCTCTACTTGTTCAGTTAGTGTACATAGGGTTAATATATTTTTTTTAACATAATACTTCATTAAACATTGTACCAAATTATTCTAACGAAAACTTAGGTCCCCATCTCCGAATGATCTCACTAAAATAATCTTGAACTTAGTTGTCGCACTAAAAATATTATCCTCCGTCGTCAGTAAAGAACAGTAATGTATATTTTGACGAAGACGTCCGATCTTGTAACATTTCCGTGGAAAAGTTGTACATCAATGACACTCGGTTACCTTGGCCAGAGAAAATAGCAACACGGAGTGTCGATTATCCTAATTTCTTGGATCATGAGCGTCGTAGAATTCGCCGAAGCGTATTCGCGTGCCACTTTATCGCGATCCCACGAATTTTTTCCGCGGCAGAGAACCGTCTAACTAAGCGATTCCTAAAGAGCGTTGTGCAATGCTGGAAACGAAGGATTACTCAATGCGGACGGATCGGCTGACCTGCATTCTAGGGTAATTTTAAGTCTTCGATGTAGCACCGTGTTCCTTCTCGGATTGTTTTGCAGGAATTGTTAACCTCAAAATCGCGCGATCCTTATAACCGCACGTTTCGACAAATTTTTGGGGTTATGTTTGAGGAATGTCGTCACTGCAGGGGTTGTCAACTCGGAGATCTATATCTTTCTTTTTAAATCTCCATAAACGAACCGTCCATTCATTAAAGTTATTATCCCCGCAAATAAATCATTTTTTTGGGAAATTCTGGAGTTCGAAAAATTGGAAATTTTTTGAAAAATTAAATTACAAGGTAGACGCACTTAGATTACATAAATGCACTAAATTACGAAATCGTAAGAGAGACCGGTTACTCTTTCTTTTTTTTTAAATTTACGTCACTTCTGTGACTAAGTGATTAACAATACTACCGATTAGTTAAGTTACATCAAGTAGCTCGAACTTCGTTCTAGATATTACTGTTTCTTATCACGTTATGACAACAAAATAAAAAATCTTTGAATCAAAGGTAACTCAACCAAAATCGAATTAGTTGTTTCGATAATAATTTTCACGTTTGGGTATCACATTAAACTCAATATATTTCGTAAAGGAGTCGTCGAGTTGCTAAATACAATATCATGCATTTTAACTTTAACTAACGGTACATTTAACGTTAGTCCCTTTACTTAAACAATACTATAAATGATAACCGTAGATCAAAACCGAGCCCGAAGGCAACAAGGAAATGCAAGAAAAGGGAAAGAAAGGAAACAGTAACTACTAGATAACGTTGCAATTCTTCTTCGTTGAAAAACAACGTGGTTAACACTAGAACTACCGTACCAGTCAAAATGACTGGTTTCGATTTTTTTTTTAGCAATTATTGATATCTTCGAAGCATTGAATCTTCGAAATGATTTTGAAAATGAATAGTTTCATTTGGGTACTATAATGAATGCCTGAAGAAACTGAAAATAATCTATTGTTACAGTTTTTATAGGAATCGCATATTAGTCGTATTAATATTTCTAGTGCTAATCGTTTCCTATTCGCCTCTCCTTTATGATAAAGATGAACTCGATAACGTCACGCGTTTCGTCTGGTCCGTGAGCGGCAAACGAATCGTCGCCATCGCAGCTCCGCACTGCGCTGCGCGTTACACGGTTTTTGCGCGCGTGTCTCGGGGCCCGCTTTCTAAACCGCTCACTCTCTGCTTTGTTATGAATTTACGAACGCTTATTCACGTAACGCGACGTGTTGTGTACCCGGGCCCGGTCCCCGTCTACCCGCCGCTGTGCAACCCCTTCTCCGTGGCCAGCTAGCAGCAACAGCAGCAGCAACAACCACCGTTATTTGCGAATCGTATCGCATCGTATCGTATCGTTTCCCCGGGTGCCACGTGACCCATGCCGTCTACGTGGGTGTTTCGAATCCTGTTCGACCGGGTTCTACGCCTCCCTCTTTGTCCACTGTCTCTCGCCCACCCCGCGATTTCTCCGGGTCCGGCTGAATCGTAAACAGTGTCGTTGCACGTATCACCGGCTCTCTTACAAAGACTTATCGCGATTACCATGGTTACAACGTGAATTAGTGGCCATTGTCGCGTGACTAGCAGCCATTACGCCCGTGGTCCTGGGATCTTAATGGTCCCGGCGTGAAAAAGGCAGAGCTTTCGTCTTATTTTAGCTACCACTTTATATACGACAGAACTTTCGACTTGGAACTTGACGTTTGAGTCAAGAGGAAGGTTTTTATTGCCTTGGAGAGATTACTGATAAAAGCTTGAATTCTTTTCGATGTGTAATCTACTTTTTGAAAAAATTCATGCGAGTCTTCCGTTCTTTGATACTTCCTATAGTAGAGTCTTCTTATTTGATGCTGGTTTCACTGCGTTCGTGAGTTAACCAACGAGAAAACTTTGGTCCCACGGTTTTATGCCCGGTGGATGTAATCGATGGGATTCGCTTCTCCTCAAAGGATGTCCCGTTACCAGCTGTTATCGCGATCGGACATTATCTCGCGATACAGCCCCGTTAATAATAGCACCGTCTGCGAGCGCCGGCCACTGCTGCTCGGTTGGGATCAAGTTCACTGTTGCACGAGTCGGATATATCGATCAATTTACTGTCGGTGTTTAATTTTATCGGAATTGAGCAACGATCGGGAAACAAACGGCACGCTTCCTTGTCTCTTCTTGGCGCACATCGCCTAATAGTCATTCTCGACGAAATTCGCTGAGCCGAAATCCTCACCACATGTAAAGGAAAATTCTTTTTTCTTCGGAACGTTCACCTGCCATTGTTCAAATAGAATTTATTTTGGCGTTGCGCTTTCGAGTTTTACGAACGATTGAAACATTTAAAATATATCCCTTAAAATGCTATACCAGCCGAGCTGTTTCGAATTCAACCGTAAGAATCGGTCTTAACGCTAAAACCACCGAGCAGTCAAATTGACTTTCTGAAATTTTCGTGAAGAAATTCGAAGAGTGCATCTATCGAGATTTCTATTGACTTACCATTCAGTTCGTACGTTTCGTAATCAATTTCGATAGAAATTTCTCCGAGAATCATCTGTTATCTTTTCAATAATCGCGAGAAGAAGAAATTGAAAATGACTCATTCTGGCCTGACCGATAATTCTAATGTTAAAGATCCACAGTTTCGATAAATAGAAAGGAAAAGAATGAACCTGTTTACTTGTATTGCCTCTTAAGTGATTAAGCTTTCGTTTTTGAAAATAAAAGTGTACGTCTCGAAATCATCTACCGATTAAGGCTCGATTTTTCGATGCTACTTATACGATGTCTGTCGGTGAACAGTTGTAATCTTCTCCCGATCGTAATGCAACATAATAATTCTAACCGCGGCGTTTATTCAACCTGGCTGGGTCTTGGATCGAGTGACTATAATCTTCTGGGATTGCGTAACTATGATCGGCGTTGTCCGCGCCATTCAACCGTAACACTCTTAACACCTTAACTGCCGACATCACGTACGCGTGACTTGGATCAACTGAGGATTACACGCCGGTGTTAGGATAATATTTTTCGTTGCAAGAAGGATTACATTATAAAGATTAATCCTGTATTTACGAGTATCGACTGTAAGCTTCGTTATTTTTCTATCGTTCTCGCATGTACATCAGATACAAGCGCATAAACTTTCGCCATATCATAACTGGTGATGCGACCGCAACCAACATTGCTTGCAGTATCGATCCACAACTGTACCTTCCGCGAACAGTTTAACGTGTGCGTGTCAAAAGGTTTTATCAGATTGTTTTCACTCGGTTTTAATTATGTTTTCGCGGACGTTTGTAATCCATAATCCGGTTGATTAATAAGTTCTCGCTTTGATGGGGTCGCTGTTTGGTCGATATTTCATTCAGAGAGAAGAATTTGAATTTTATATATTGATATTCGGTCTGAGAAAATTTAATTCGATATTGCGAGATTCGAGGATCGTTTTCATCGATTTATTTTCTCTTATGTTGCACATTGCATAAACTTTAAAGTCCAATGCACTTGCAGACACTCCAAAGGACGTACTTTATATATAAAGTGTTTAGAATGTACGTTTTCTTTTTCTAGTAGTATATAATGTATAAATAGATAAAGCTCTACATTGTTTTTTTTAAATTTGTATCACTCGCGAGGTTCGAGTACAGCTCATTGATATCGAGTGTCTCACGAGTACTCGAAATGCACACCGTCCGTGTTTACGATTGCTAATCGAACGGTATGAAAGGAATCTGAGATACCAAGTCGTTCATTTGAGAGTACACATTGAACTTATTGTTTCATCTGCTGACAACATTGTGAAGGACAAATAGAGTACGCGTTAAAGGAAATTCTTCGTACTGTCTCGAGAAATTGGGTAGAAAAATG